ACACCATAATTGATCTTTCAAGTAAGCGTTAAGTATCATCTTAAAAATAAAAAATATTGAAATGAACGTTATGACAATGTCTGTAGATTTAAAATGTCAAAATTCGTGCAGTGACAAATTGACATGTTATGCAATGATCACGTGGAAGATGTATTACAGTATGGCTACAAATTAAGTAAATTTCATGAATATGAGAAATGAAATGTATCGGACTGTTGAAATTTGAAGCTAAATTAAAGTTGAATAATTCAATTACGATAAATTAAAGTATAACAATAATCCAACTAAAATTTCGTTGAAAGTTGAATGATCGAAGATGTAATTTACCCTTTAATAAGGCAATGGTGCCGAAGACGAGCCAAATTTTATTTTCATCCACTCCTTAACCAAGTGAAAAATTGTTCGGCCAGCCCATAGGGTATTCCAACTTTGCAGGCTTTAGCACATGCAGAATTTTATATTGTCAATTTTATTTGTCCGGTCCAAATTGAGACAAACCTGATTCAGCATAAAAGGACAGACGAATTTGAAGGGAAAAATGAGTTTTTGAAATTTAAGCAAAAAGACAAATATTTCAAAAGAAAACAATTGGTTGGAATCTCTACTACTTGCTATCGGAATTCTTGAAGCAAATCTAGTTCGTGTTTGTAACCTTAAATTCTGTCATTCATTGATGTGGGCCACAAATAAACCTAGGAGACGTGATGGTTTTGATGCACTAATGTTATCATGACAAATAATTTTTGTAACATATGATCATTTTGTATTATCGAATTTTGGAGTGTTAGTTATGATATTGTTATTAAGATGAGAAGGGCTAGATGTACAGAAAGAATGCCACAGAATTTCACTAGAATACACACATTTGTGGGTTTATTGCAATTTTTTTTTTTTTTTTTAAAAATACATGATGGGTCGCGCGCACTTGTGTGTACTCTGGCCAAATTCTGGTGAGCTTCTTTACATGGGGGGAAAAACCTATTAAGATAATGGCATCGAATCCAGATAACAAAGAACCGATTTTTGTCTAATCTGATTATTTTTATACAATACCTCACTACAAAATTGTAAAGTGCACTTCTGTCCATAACCAGACATTTAATGGACGAGTTCGAACTAGTTTAAAATTCAATTAAAATTGAAAATATAGTCATTATTGGGTCTCACTCGTATAATAAAAGTCAACAATAATGTCAAGTTTTTCAATTTTAATCTCTACCGAACACGTCCAATATATTTCCAGTTCATTCTATAAAAAAATGATTGGTTCTTGTTTGATGTGATATGTATCATTGCTTTGACCAAACCCTTTGTACTTGTACATTGGGAAGACAGTGGATAAATTCATTCTGCAATCAATGAGGAAACGTTCATAAAGAAGGACCAAGTGCTACTCTCCTATTACCCCCATTCATGACTCATGGCCATTCAACAAATTCTGTCACAAGCTATGAAAAATTAAGAAAATAGGTTTTTGGAACATCATATTCAACATTTAAGGACCTCAAGTTTGGAAATTTTTATTGCAAATAATTTTAGTGACTGAATTTTTTTTTTAATAATTATTTTCTGTCTATAATAATTAAAATATTATTTACGAAAAATTCCATAATATGCGTAAAGGTAACAAAATAATAATTTTAACTTCCAAAATGTCTTAATAATTTAATTCACTAATGCAAGTTTTGTTGTTAAATAATTTAACAAAATATGAAAAATAAATAAATATAACTTCCTGAAAATTCTATCAATAACTAAATAATAATAATTAAAATATTATTTAAGATATCATAAAATTGTAGTTAGGAGTAACTGGCACAAGACAACCATGTCATTTACGGGCTTTG